CATCCATCTATCAGGAGGCTGTTTTAGGATCCCTTCAATGGCATGCGGGGTTGTGATCCAGATCTCCTGCCCCAGGGTCAGTTTGTCAGCATCCTTGACTAAGAGCGCTGTTGCTGCAATGATTCTTAGGCACGGTGGCCAGCCAGCGCTAACAGGATCCAGCTTTTTAGACAAATATGCCACTGGGCGACTCCAGGGGCCTAAAGCCTGGGTTAAAACCCCTTTTGCCACTCCTTTGCGCTCATCTACAAAGAGGCGAAAGGGTTTTGTAATGTCTGGTAGGCCCAGGGCTGGAGTAGCCAAAAGAGCTTTCTTTATCTGATTAAAGGCCATTTCTTCTGTCTCAGTCCATTTAAAGGCCTTCCCCTCCTTGGTGGCTTCATATAGGGGCCTGGCGATCTCAGCAAAACTTGGTATCCAGAGGCGGCAATAGCCAGCCGATCCTAGGAACTCCCTCACCTCCCTCCGGGAGGGGGGAGCAGGGATTTTCAAGACTGTCTCTTTTCTAGCATCTGACAACCGCCGCTGTCCGCCCTCCAGTATGTACCCCAGGTAACTCACCCTCTTTTGGCATATCTGAGCCTTCTTCGCAGAGGCCCGGTACCCTAAGGTCCCTAGGGTGGCCAGCAGATCTTTGGTCCCTTGTTCACAATCTTTGGCGGTATCGGCAGCAATCAGGATGTCATCTACGTACTGAAGGAGAGTGAGATTGGGGTGCTCTCTCCTGTACTCACCAAGGTCTTCATGCAGCGCCTCGTCGAAGATGGTGGGTGAATTCTTGAATCCTTGGGGCAATCGCGTCCAGGTTAATTGTCCACTGTAGCCTTCCTCTGGGTCGTGCCACTCGAAGGCAAACAGGGGTTGGCTTTGAGGCGCTAGCGGCAGGCTGAAAAAGGCATCCTTCAAGTCTAGTACGGTATACCAGACTCTAGAGGGTGCCAGAGAGCTTAGGAGAGTGTATGGGTTGGGAACGGTTGGGTGTATATCCAGGACCCTTTTATTTACTTCCCTGAGGTCCTGGACTGGTCGATAATCATTCGTGTGGGGCTTTCTGACCGGCAGGAGGGGGGTGTTCCAGGCAGATTGGCATGGAACCAGTACCCCTAGGCTTCGCAGTCTCCGGATGTGAGGCTGGATTCCCTTCCGAGCCTCCTGGGACATAGGGTACTGTTTTACTCTTATTGGGCTTTCTCCTGGTTTTAGCTCAACCAGGGTTGGGGCCCTGTGGGCGGCCAGTCCTACTCCCCCCGTCTCTGCCCAGGCTGTGGGGAATTCTTGCAGCCATCTATCTATATTGTTCTCTACTGGGGGTGCCCCCTGGTGTAGGCGATATTCATCCTCCAGTCTCAGAGTCAGAACCTGGATGGGGTGGCCTTCGCTATCGGTAACCTGAGGCCCCCCTTGTCTGAAGGTTATTTGGGCTCCAATCTTGGTTAGCAAGTCCCGTCCTAAAAGGGGGTAGGGGCACTCCGGTATTACCATGAAGAAATGGGATACCCGGCCCGTTCCTAGATCTACTGTTCTTCGTGTAGTCCATGGATACTGGCTCATGCCAGTTGCCCCTTGCACCCAGGACTTTTTATTAGCAAGCTTCCCCTGAGGTGTGCGGAGAACCGAATGTTGTGCTCCAGTGTCGACAAGGAAGTCAACAGGGGTCCCCTCCACTCTAAGAGTTACCCTGGGCTCGGGGAGGGGGTCCGAACCCCGACTCCCCTAATCACTCAGTCCTTCCAGCTCCAAGACCTCCACCCGGTCCATCTTGCTTCCCCTTTTACCGGCCTTCTTTGGGCATTCTCGGACCCAGTGCCCTATCTCTTTGCAGTAGGCACATTGGTTCTGTTGCAGTTTTTTTTTCCCACTCCGGGCGGTTTCCTTACCTCTTTCTTGGCCATCAGCAAGCTGGCGAAGGCGGTGGGTCCGCTCCTCAGGGGACTCCGTGGTGGTGGCTAGCAGAATCTTGGCCAGGTTTCGGGTCTGCTTGTCACTGGCAGCCACCATGGTGCGGGCTCGTCTATCCTCAGGGGACTCTCGGTTATTGAACACCTTCTCTGCCACTGCCAGTAAATCCTGTAAACTCTTTTCTCCTAATCTATCTATTCTCTGCAGTTTTTTTCTAATGTCCATGGCTGACTGGTTTATAAAACTCATGATTACAGCTGCCTTATTCTCAGGGGCTTCTGGATCCATGGGGGTGTAGGTGCGATATGTCTCCATGATCCGTTCTAGAAAAGCAGCTGGAGACTCATCTCTTCCCTGCTGTACATTCCCTACCTTGGTCAAATTGGTGGGCTTCCTAGCAGCCCTACGGAGACCTCCCATCAGAGTCTGGCGGTAGACCGAAAGCCTCTCCTTACCTTCTGCCGTGTTGAAATCCCATTCAGGCCTAGTTAAAGGGAAAGAGACATCTATCTGGGCCTGGTTTGTGGTTGGATTTCCATCTACACCAGGAACCATCTTCCGGGCCTCATTGAGGATCCTTTCTCTCTCTTCCGTTGTGAACAGAATCTGTAAAAGCTGCTGACAGTCGTCCCATGTGGGCTGATGGGTGAAAAGAACAGAATCTAGCAAGTCAATAAGTCTCCCCGGCTTTTCGGAGAACTTAGGGTTCTGTGCCTTCCAGTTATACAAGTCGCTAGTTGCGAAAGGCCAATAGAAATGGGGCTGGTTGCCATCCGCTTCCGGGGGTCCAGCGGCCCGTAAGGGCAGGGTCTTGATAGTGGAGTTGGGTGCTGCGACAGACAGTTCCCGTTGAGCTCTTTGCCGGGTGAGAGGCGGGCCTCCTACCGGAACCGGAACCGCAGCCACTCCCGGAACCCCGCCCCCAGGCACTCCCGGAACTGCGTCAGCTTCCCGCGACAGGGCAGGATCAAATCTCTCTGGCATCCTGTGGAAATGATACGGGGGAGGAAAAATTAACTCTTCTCCAGTTCCCCCCTGCAAAACTGGGTAGGGGGGAGCTGGAGCTGACGGCAGGGTGGTTTTTTTCTCCTTCCTCTTCTCCGCTTCCTGCAAGGCAAGAATGGGTTCTGGCTCCGGAGGGTGTGGAGGTAGGAAGGGCCTAAGCCAAGATGGTGGATCTTCCATGAGGTCCTGCCAAGTAACAATGTAAGAGAGTTGACCAGGATGTCCCTCTTTGGGCTGGGAGACGATGTCCCTAACCCGGCGGATGGTGGGGAGACCGAAAGTCCCCTCCGGCGGCCACCCGACATTAAAAGTCGGCCACTCCCTGGAACAAAAGGCCCGCCACCGGTCCTTCCGAACCTCCGCACTGAGGTTGCTGGCTCTTTTCTCTACCTCTTTAAAATGGCAGACCATAATGCTTAAAGGAGTAGTTTGAGTCTGTCCCATAATGTCTATCCAGTAAATCCACAAAACAAAACCAAAAAAACACAAACACAGACAACTAAGGGGCCCTAAAATACAGTATTCCAACTCCATGGACGCGAAACCAAAATAATCTTCCAACTCCATGATGGTAAAAACCGAAAACGAAGCAAGGCTACTTCTACAGCCAGCGGAAGCTACCTGCCTACAGATCTCCCGACCTCGGAAGCAAAGCTAGTTCTACAGCCAGCGGAAGCTACCCGCCTACAGATCTCCCGACCTCGGAAGCAAAGCTAGTTCTACAGGCAGCGGAAGCTACCCGCCTACAGATCTCCCGACCTCGGAAGCAAAGCTAGTTCTACAGATACAGATGGAGGATCGAGGCGTCCCCCGACTCCTCCCGCCCTTTGTCCTCGTGCGTCCACGATCAATGTGGGCGAATACAGATTTCAGAAGTGAGCTCACACAGAAACAAACAAATACAAACATAAACGACACATACCGCGGTCAGCCAAGTCCTCCGAGCTGGGAGTCCCTCAATGGGCTTTGAGGATCCCGGGCGAGACCCCAAATGTTATGCCCAGATTCCAAGATCCCCAAAGAATTCCACACTGGGAGCCAGTTTCGATGCAACAGCAAAAGGACCTTTTATTTTAGGACTAGCTAGACCGACCCCGTTCCCGGCCGGCCCGGCGACAGGAAGAGAGAGTCCCCTCCCATGGGAAAATCCGGCTTAAATAGGGGGGTGACGCAAGGGGATTGTGGGCCCTGCCGATTGGTCAGGCGTGAGCCGGGTCTTGTTACACAGGATGTGGTCATATCTATGGCGCGCACTTTCCTTGATTGTCATTGGTTAGTTTAAAATCCCGGGCGCGGCCAGCAGAGGCCTGGGCTTCCGGGAAGAAGGCTACACGTGGCCCCAACATGGAGGAGATGGCGGAGAGCGCATAGCCCTCACCCTTTCACTACCACCCAGCTCAAGGAACAGAATTTAACATAGCTCAGTAATCCTTACGCTAAATTTTGTTATTCATTCACTCTTACCATTTAAAACATTTTTAAAAAATATTCCCTTATTGATTTCAGAGAGGAAGGGAGAGGGAGAGAATAATAGAAACATCAATGATGAGAAAGAATCAGGGATCAGCTGCCTCCTGCATGCCCCCAATAGGAATGGAGCCCTCCACCCAGGCATGTGCCCTGACCTGGAATCAAACCGTGACTTCCTGGTTCATAGGCAGATGGTCAACCACTGAACCACCCTGACCAGACTTTAAAAAGTTTTTATCATTGCCCTCGCTGGTTTGGCTCAGTGGATAGAGTGTCAGCCTGTGGACTGAAAGGTCCAGGGTTCGATTCTGGTCTAGAGCACATGCCTGGGTTGAGTGCTCGACCTCTAGTAGGGTGCATGCAGGAGGCAGCCAATCAATGATTCTCTCTCATTGATGTTTCTATCTCTCTCTCCCTTCCTCACTGAAATCAATAAAAATATATTTTTAAAAGTTTTAATTATTTATGTATATCAATATACTATAGTTTTGCCTAGTGGTGAATTATAGATAATTGGCATCTTAGTTTATGCATTATTCTATAATTTGCTTCTTATTCCCAACATTTGTTTGTCATGTTATCCATATTGGTTCTTAAATCTACAATTCATTTTCACAGATAAAAAATATTTAACAGTGTGATTATGTCACATGTATTTATATTCGGCTTTATCAGTTAAGGTAAAACTCTTTTCCAAAATTGTTGCACCAAAACACACACACACACACACACACACACACACACCCACCCCAAATGGTTGCCCCATCAGCAGTTACTTTTTTAAAAAGTATGTGATACAT